AATAAAAGGTAACTAAAACTATGTTCGTATTGAAGATGAGTTTAAATAAACCTAATCTTTTGTTAAGTTACCAAAAAAATATTTTGTAATGCAATACAAAGACTTGTATCTGTGATTCAGCCTGTGGTGTGGTATTATTGTTATTATCTTGTCTTACAGAAACAGTCAATCCCAGTTTCCACCCTAACCTCATGCAATGTAGCAGTTGTAGTTTTAAATGACTCAGTGCACTTGAGGGCATTAAAATTAGCTTGGGCAAACACTTCCATCCCTGTTTTAGTAGACCTTGTGTTTGTGTTTGAATTGTTCAGACTGGGCGTCGTCTTTGTACCTGTGATAGGAGTGTGTTTGGGGGTGTGGCATGGGTTGTGTTTACACCCCTAAGGCATTTTTAATCCTCAAATGTAAGATGCTTTATGTTGTCAGTGGCAGTCTTGCAGTGATGTACTGTAATTGAGTAAACCGTTTGCAGCAACAGTAATCTAGGAAAGACGGAAGCACAATGTGAGACACACCCATGCGTACCTGAAATTGTTTTTGCACAGAAATGCACAGTCATTTTACATGACAAGATGCTTTCTTGACTTTTACCTGACTTAACTTTCATTTCGACAAGTCACTTGACAAGCGCTTGTCTCCAGTGTTGACATTTTTATTGAAACCACAGTGCAAGATGATTCATCAATATTTTTGGTTTGTTTTCCTGGAAGAGAAAGACTGTACATTTTAAATGTGTATATCAGCAAAAAATTTATTTAGTCAACTTTTATGAGGGAACTAGCATATAAATTAGGCTTATAGCTAATAGACAGACTAAATGCCCAAAAAAAACATTTAGATTTTATAGGGTATTTAAAGGAATAGTTCACCCAAAAATGAAAATATGCTGAAAATGTACTCACCCTCAGGCCATCCGAGATTTAGATGAGTTTGTTTCTTCATCAGAACAGATTTGGAGAAATTTAGCATTACATCATTTGCTCACAGTGGATCTTCTGCAGTGAATGGGTGCCGTCAGAACTAGAGTCCAAACAGCTGATAAAAACATCACAAGTAACCCACATGACTCCAGTCCATCATTTAATGTCTTGTGAAGTAATAAAGCTGCGTGTTTGTAAGATTTATCATTAAGATGTTTTAACTTTAAAATGTTGCTTCCAGCTAAAATACATGTCCAAAATCCATAATAACGCTTCCTCTAAAGTCTATCCCCTGTTGTCCTCTCACATCAAAATCCACAGACATTTGTTTAGAACTGTTTTGGACTGTTTTGCTTGTAAATGGAGCTTGTGCATATTTCTCTCCTGATTCAGACTTTTTCACTGGAGAAAGTAATATTATGGATAGTCAGATCCTGTATTTTAGTCAGAAGCTGGAGTCATGTGGATTATTGTGATGTTTTTATCAACTGTTTATCTTCAATTCTTACGGCACCCATTCACTGCATTGGTGAGCAAGTGATGTAATGCTACATTTATTCTGATGGAGAAACAAACTCATCTACATATTGGATAACCTGAAGGTAAGTAAATGTTAAACAAATTAACATTTTTGTGTGAACTAAAAGTTTATTTAAAGCACAAGGGGGAAATTCTAATCTGCTAGCTATAGAAATAAATTTGACTTGAATAATACTGTGTGCACTCTTTTGTTTCAATACAGCTCGAAGAGCAAGATTGCTGCAAGTTCAGAAAGCACAACCTTGTATGACCTTGTCTACATCCTTTTGGCTGCTTGGCTATTTGTGTACTGCCTTCTTGTCCTTCCTCAGATTGACTCAAGGACGCTTCCTAAACTCCTCTTCAACATAGAAGAATGAATGCAATATTAACATACAAGACAATTAATGCTCACACCTACAACTCTGATCACGTCCTTTAAGTTAAGGAATAGTTCACCCGAAAATTAAAGTACAGGCATTCTGATAAAGATTTCCTTTTATGTTCAGTGGAACATACATGAGGGTGAGTAAATGATGACAGAATGTATTTATTTGTTTGAGTATTTTTGAGTGAACTATCCCTTTAAGATGAACCAGGACCTCTGATCCAACTCTTTAAGGAATAAATAAAAAAGTTAGGAAAATTGGCCATATCGATCAGCTCAGTTGCCTTTCGAATTTCCTTTCACATCTGCACACAAAGAAAAAGTGTTTTTTCTCTCTTTTGGTTGGAGGGTTTTTGTTTTCAGTCAACTTTTACCTGGGTAATATTTGGATGCATTAGGTGCACATGAAGCACAATAACACACAAGATTATTTATAATGCTTCTGAAGAACATGCTTTTTGGCCTTTTATGTTGTTTGTGCATACACTATATGAAGAAAAAGCATCTGTAAGACTGTGCAACTGTTTGTATAAAATAAGTGAAGGTTTTTGGTATGTTTTAAAGCTGTTATGCTGCAAGATTTTGAATGTATCTTTTTTTAAAAAGTGATCACATTAGATATACCCATTTATTTTTTGCATTATATAGTAAAAATGAAGGCTTTTTAGCACAAATACATGCTTCGATTATATTCCACTAACATTTTTGATAAGATAAGGCCAGGGTATTATGGTATTAAGAAATATCATATAGGGCTCTCTAAGTTAAGAGACACTTTTATGGCGTCAACAGCACTTTTAAAAAAAAACTCGAGAAAAGAACTGCCAAAGATTCAGTTAAAGATACTGAAACCTATGCCCAACACAGTGAGCAAATTATGAATTTGCCTATTATTTTAGTAATAAATCCTGCACTTGCAGTATATTTGATGCATTCTACAAAATGCAAGAGCACACAAAATTCTAACACATTTATTGGTTATTTTACACATTTATAAATACATTATATTGACTGAATTTGCAATATTTTGGACATTGAAGGTGTTAGTGGTGGTTTTTAGGTCTCTGGCCTGATATAAATCCTAAAACTGAAGGATTTAATTTGAGCCTGTGGGGCCTGTAATATGTTGTAAAAAGTTTTTTCTTATATTTTCCTAAATTGTAAGCTGATATATCCACAGTACAGAGCAAGCACTCTGGCTGCATGATCATAGCAAATAAAAGTGAACTCTGGACAAAACCAGAATGTTAATGCATCCTGATACATTTCTGAGAAAAATATGTCCAATATTGCAAACAAGCCAAACTTTCTGCATGAGAATGTGTGTAGAAAGTAACTTGTGTCTTTAACATTTTTAAAAGTCACCAAGTGAATCCATGTCCTGCTTTTGTAATGAAAATTGTTAAATTATCATGTTTAAATGCACCGGAGTGCAATAAATGATATATCATTTGGTTGCCGTGTCTGTTAATTGTGTGCTTTATTGTATCCTAATTTTATACATATATTATTTTTGTTGCTAAAAGGCAAAAATGAAATTTTGATTTTAATATTTAGACTACTTTAGGTTCAGTGTCTATGATTATGCACAAACAGAGCTGATTACTTTGCAAATTGTAATCCGTTACTGATTCAAAATTACATAAAAAATTTAATTAGTAACGTAACATTACACATTTTAGTAATGTGATGATAATATGATCCGACTATTAGATTACTTTTAACCTACAATCTTGTGCTATAATGACATAAATATACAAAGAGTGAGAAAATATATTCCATTTGTTATTAACAACATGACGTGCATTAAACATGATATTACATCAAGGTTTCCCAAACTGGGGTTTGAGAAAGGAACTGAAGGGGGTTTATGAGTTTAATTAAAAGCTGTTAATTAATTAAATCATAAAAATGTTCAAATAAATCATTTTAAAATCAATAAAAATAGAAAACTTACTCAGAAAATGAAATATTTTATTTGTTTACCTGCATGTCATATGAACATAACCAATGTCAGAGAACCAATTAACATGTAAATGTGATACTTAATTATTAAAATCTCAGGTGTACTTCAAGTAAATATATTGGGTGAAAGAGGATCAGATGGCAAAAAAGTTTGTGAATTTGTGCATTTTAATGTGTTTGAAAGACAAAAGTCTTCCAAAGACACAGAAATACATGGTTAAATAACCTACAGAGTGATAATTCAAATAAAAATGAATGTGTTCATCAGTAGTTGATGCAATGTTGAAACACTTCTTAAACCTGAAATGATTTTTGTAAATCCAGTGGTCAAATGCTGTGTAGCCAGGGGACTAATGACTGGCCTTTGTGTGAATGTCCACAAAACTGGAAGACTTTGGCTATTTTAGAAAGGAACATTTAAAAGATGAAAAAGATGAATTAAGGAGAATCGATAAATTATGAATAATTTATTGATATTGTGTAAATAATATGTAATCATGTAATCCATAAAAGTAACTAGTTCTGATTTTAAATGTAAGTTAGTATTTTAAAATGTAATTTAATCTTAATTTTTGGAATCTGATTAAGTGATCCAGATCACATCAGTTACTACCCAGCTCTGTGCACAAAACCAATCCAACAAAAGCATTATTTAAAAGAATGTTAGTTCTAAAACACACATTTACTTACTTATTTGACCAAGTATATCTAAAGCATAATTACAGGTCATGAAAAATGTACGTCATAACATGTATATTTTAAATAAGCAAAAGTAACTAAATTAAATATTACGAAAGGAAATATCGTATGCATTAGACGTGAGATATTATTAACACAAATAGTGTTTTTTTTTTTTTTTTTTAAATTACGAAATGCTGGAAATTTGATGCAGATAAATCAAGAGTGAGTTAATCCTGCTCTAGTCACCGGAAATACTGAAAATCTTTTATTGGCTTGTAGCGCCACCTGCTGCTCGACTCGAACATCTGCGTTTGTTTATATCTGTCCACGTCGAGCTAATCAGGCTGTCGACACACCACAGTTTAATATAGCTGGATATAAACACATAAAACTGCTGGCTAGGCACAGAGAGATAATTCATTTGCCATACTTCATGTTCATCTTAAACCAGTATGAGGTGACACGATACGGCTCACAGTTGGTCGACTCACAGACAGTCAAGCAGCAGCTGTGGACAGGTGATGCAATTAGCCTAAATTTACTTGAGAACTCCACTGTAGTCTTCAAACAGCGATGCCTTTGTGTCATCTGATGCGGCTTTGCTGGGATGATCCAACCAAATGTTGTCCAAACTCTCTTTAATCCCACAAAATCTGGTAAATGCTGCAAAATTCAATCTACCGAGGTTCAAAGTCTGTTACGGTTGCATGTGGCACTTTCCAGGCATTGGGTACAATTTGTTGTCCCATTCCGTTTTTTTAAGCTTTAGAGGCACAAATCCCATCTTTTTGAACGATTAGATACATTAGATAAATTATTATCTAACATGAAGTTAAATTGGGCATTTTGGCCTGTCAGAGACTCGGATGTCTTTATATAACCAGTAACATTGTACAACGTCACATTTTTGCCATAATCAGTTGAATTCATATTCAGTTAACTAGTAAAAGGTATTATTAAAAATGGTAACACTTTACTTGAAGGGGTGTGCATAAGACTGACATGACACTTTCATAATCATGACATGACACGTCATGAATATGAAGGAGGTTTTATGCATGTTTATGACAACTAATTAAGTTGTCATAAAGTCATTAAGTGTCATTCGCTCAGTTATGTCATTTTTAATGCAAATATGACATTATTTGACCTAACCCTAACCTACCCTTCAAGTAAAGTGTAACCTTAAAAATATTACAAAAATATAATATTGATTAAAATCAAATACTTTTTTGAAATAAAATTATATTTTACCATTTTTTTACAATTAAAGTAGGCCTATAATACAAGTAGGCTATTAAAACATTTCTTTCTAATGTTTTTTTTTTACTATTATTTCTAGACCACCAGTGTCACACCTTTATATTCTTCTTTATGTTCTTTACATTAGATCATTTTCTGTCTTTTTATTTCTAGTTCTCAAAGTTCAGCATTATCAGCTTTTTGTAAATTTATGATTGTTACATATTTTTAACAAAAATTCAGAAAACAATTATTTATAAAGACATGTACATTTTCATTAAGTCTCAAGCTTTTTTGTTTGCAGTTCTTGTAGGCATCAATTATTTAAGCTTATTTACTTACACCGATAAAAAAAGGAATTAAACAATTTACATCTTTACACCATATTTGCATAAGCCTCTATCATTGCACAAGGTCAGCAGGTACCAGCACACTATAGTAATGTTTATAAGGCAGATGAGCACATAGTTTTCATTTATTAAAAGGACTTGTGGGCGGGTGTTTTTATTTGGAACAGCTAAATAGCAGCAGTGCAAAACCAACTACAGAAACTGTGGAAATTAATATGCTGACCTCTCTGGTGTAATACTGTGATGCAAAATCACTGGTTAGCAATAAGGACAGATGGAAAATTACCTCTGTATACTTGTGTACCCTCATGAGTCAAAACAGCGGCATTGCAAAGAGAGATTCTTAATTACATGAATGATTTCTAGCACAGATATCTGGTTAAAAATAAATACACAGACATTACCATTCAAAAGTTTGGGATTTGTATGATTTTTTTCTTATGCTCACCAAGGCTGCATCTATTTGGTTAAAACAATAATAACAATAATAATAAAAAATATTGTGAAATTATTACAATTTTAAAATACTTTTTTTTTTAAATATAGTTTAAAATGTAATTTATTCCTGTGATGCAAAGTTGAATTTTCAGCAGTAATTACTCCAGTCTTCAATGTCACATGATGCATTAGAAATCATTCTAATATGCTGATTTGGTGTTCAAGAAATGTATTATTATCAGTTTTGAAAATATTGCTACTTATATTTTTTTGGCAACTATAATACATTTTAGATTTTAAATTTTAATTTAAATTTTAATTTAAATTTTAGATATAATAGATTTTTTAAGGATCCTTGGAAAATTAAAAAAGAACAGCATTTATTTAAATATTATTTTTGTAACAATCTTAAGTCTCTGCTGTCACCTTTGATAATTTTAATGCATTCTTGCTGAACAAAAGTATTAATTATTAAATAAAAATCATACTGACCCCACACTTTTAAACAGTAGTGTACAGTATGCATTCGTGCAGGTGAATTACTGTTTACATGTGTATATTTATGAAAAAGACTGATAAATTCATGACTATTATATCACTCAGACATTCAAGAAGAAACCATAACACCATAAACATACTGGCTAAAATATAAAATATTATTAAATTAAAGCTTAAAAATGAATAATTCAAGTTTTATTTGGTGGGTAGTCTACCTTTAAGTCATTAAGTATTATTCAAGTATTATTATTATTATTTTCATTGTTAATATTATTATTATGTGAATCTTACCACATTCCCAAAGTTATGTCTACTGAGCAATACATGAACAATACATGTCACTTTAGCAAATCAAGCAGTAATTTAGGTATTTTAATTGGGCAGTAGGAAACTGTAATCTGTAGAAGGAAGTGTGACTTGTTTATTAAACTACAGATTTATTAAAGTGCAGGGAAATCAAGTCCATATGTTGTTTGTGTTTTTCAGAAAGACAAACTTGCTGAAGTTGCTCTGAACGTCTTGGCATCGTATGACAGGTCCGTGGGTTAAATAACCTCTGAAGCATGGGGGAAAACATTAATATGTTGTATACCAACTGTATGACAACTTTTAAATATGAATTTACTTAAATCAGATGTATTTATAATATAAAAACAGGTGGCATGCTTTAAATAGTATACTTCAGATATCATTAAATTATATTTAAATAAATAACTTGTTAAACACCATCCTTGCCTAACATTTAATCTAATCCTTGAATCATCAAATTTAAGATCGAGTTGTGTAACATTAACTTAATATATTAATTTATGTTTGATTTAAATGCAGATTTAAATTAAGTCAGATGAATGCATTCACATACCGGTTTGCTGATGGGCTTGTATCTCATCCAGGCCAGAAAGACTGCGGAAGGACCGTCGCTCTTTGAAGGCCACAGTAGGAAGCATATCCTCCTCGTCCCTCAGCTCCAGCTTTGGCATTTTTCCTGGATCTGGTTGCCTGATTACAGACTTTACGTTCTCACAAGGCAAGTTGTCCTTCACTGATGCAGCTTTCTAAAGGGGACAAAAAGTGAGCAGGGCCTCTTGATGAAGCATGAACAAAGCGCCTGCCAGTGATAGTCTTACCTTGTCATCAGAGTCTGTCTTTCTTGTTCTTTTCATGATTTCTTCCAGGCGCTGATTTGGGAAAAATTTAAATCACAATATACATTAGGGTTGGTAAGATTTTCAATGTTTTTGAAAGAAGCTTCTTATGCTCACCAGGGCTGCATTTATTTGATCTAAAATACAGTAAAACTGTTATCTTGTGAAATATTATTTCAAATTAAAATGACTTTTTTTCTATTTTAATATATTTTAAAATGTAATTTATTCCTATGACTAAACTGAATTTTCAGCAGCCGTTTCTTCAGTCTTTAGTGTCACATGATCCTTCAGAGGTCATTTTTATATTCTGATTTGCTGCTCAAGAAACAATTCTTATTATTAACAGTTGAAAGCAGTTGCGCTGCTTAATATTTTTGTGGAAACTATGATAAATTGGTTTGATAAAAAAAAACTTCAAAAGAACAGCATTTTTTAATATGATAAATGTCTTATGTCACTTTTAATCAATTTAATGCATCTTTTCTGAATAAAAGTATTTAAGGGACAGTTCACCCAAAAATGAAAATTTGATGTTTATCTGCTTACCCCCAGGGCATCCAAGATGTACGTGACTTTGTTTCTTCAATAGAACACAAACTTGAGATTTTTAACTCAAACCGTTGCAGTCTGTCAGTCGTATAATGTAAGTGGATGGGAATCTCGGCTTTGAGGGTCAAAAAAACATACACAAACAAAACCAAATTAAACCCTGCGGCTCGTGACGATACATTGATGTGTAAAGACACAAAACGATCGGTCTGTGCAAGAAACTGAACAGTATTTCTATCATTTTTATCTCTGATGCACTGCAATGTCTTTACTGCCCTGAGCGCGTTCGCGTCTTCTTCAGCCTGAGCGTGAGGCGCCTTCTTGCTTTACGGCAGATCGCAGACTTATAAGTGCATTACCGCGGCAAGAAGAAGACGCGAATGCGCTCAGGACAGTTCAGACATTGCAGGGAAAATCAGAGGTAAAAAACAATATAAATACTGTTCAGTTTCTTGCACAGACCGATCGTTTCGTGTCTTTACACATCAATGTATCGTCACGAGCCGCAGGGTTTAATTTGGTTTTGTTTGTGTATGTTTTATGACTCTCAAAGCCGTGATTCCCATCCACTTACATTATACGACTGACAGACTGCAACGGTTTGAGTTAAAAATCTCCGTTTGTGTTCTACTGAAGAAACAAAGTCACCTACATCTTGGATGCCCTGGGGGTAAGCAGATAAACATCAAATTTTCATTTTTGGGTGAACTATCCCTTTAATTTCTTTCAAAAAAAAAAAACTTACTGACCCAAACTTGAAAAGTTCAGAATGGTATTAATGTTGTGTATATTTGAAAGTGAGTCTGTTTCTAAGTTGTACCTTTTTCCTCTCTTGGCGTTCGGCCTCCTCTCTCTGGAAGCGACTCTCTCTTTCCAGTCTCTGCTTCTCTGCCAGCACTCTCTGACGAGCCTCTTGCTCTCTCTGAGAATAGATTATGGAGCATTATAGGAATTTTTTTATTATTTCCAATAATCCATTTAATATATGATCCTAGCTGTATTTAAGGAGAAAAAATAAATGGTCTGAAGACGTGTAAGATGGTAATGTCAATGAGAGGAGCACAGGAATCGCTATATTTAAAGCCCCATGTGTATTTTTTGGACCAGATGCACTTGCAACAATATTGATTGTTTTTCAAACATGTTTCCTGCACTTCCCCATTGGTCAGACCAACTCAAACTCAAGCCAGTGCTGGTTGGGATGCTCAAAATGTATTCACTTTTCGGTTACACTATAAGTAAACCATTTGGAAATTGTTTTTACATATTAAACTAGGTTTGAAAAAGGGATTTAAACATCCAAAAGCTTTTAATACCTGCTGTTGAAGCCTGTTTTCCTCCTCTTTCTGTCTGCGAGCATTCTCCTCTTGAGCCTTCAATCGCTCTTCTTCCTCTCTCTTCCTCTTCTCCTCCTCCAGTCTCAGAGCCTCTGCTTCCTCTCTGGCTCGTTCTTCAACTCTTCGACGGGCCAGGTCCTCTCTGCTCTTTCTGCAAAGATGAGCCACACAAGCTCAGTTAGGTGCCTAATGCACTTTAAGAATTTATATCATGATTTATATCACTTGCATCATGAAGTTCAAACTGTTTTTTTCTTTAAATACAGAATTTTAACTTTAGCATATTTAACTGTCCAGTTACTTCAGCAAAGAACAACTTTAAATTGTGTCCTTTTCATTTTACAAATACAATTTAGCATTGATAATCAAAAGCAGTTACTAAGACACAAAAGATAGAGGAAGATTCACTGATAGAGGAAAGGTAATAATACAAAAATAAAAACCTCTCCATCTCCTCCTTCAGTCTGTGTTCCTCTTCCTCCTCCTCTCTCTGGAGTCGGGCTTGTCTCCTTTTCTCCGTCAGCAGGCGAGTGGCCTCTTCAGGGTCTGTAGTCCAAGCAGCAGGTCTGACTTGAGCCGCGTCACCAATCTGACTTGGTCCTGAAAGTGAAAAAGAGTAGAGAGAGAGGAATTTGTATGTATTAATGTATGAAAAAAAATATATATATATACTTAAATATTATTTCTTAATGCTGAATTTGGGAAAAAATATTTTATTTGTGTTATTTCATAGTTTTGTTGACTTGCAATTTATTTGTTTGTTCCATAGTACAGTAACCTAATGCAGTACTCGTCATGAACCATTTTAGCAAAAAGGTTCTAAACTGATTTATTAATATTATAAATATTTGGTAATTATTGGAAAATGTGTCTGAGCAAGTCTTTCACTTACCATTAGGAATCTGAGAGCCTGCTGGTGGATTCGGAGGCCCATTAATAGCTGGATTCGACTGGAGTTGGTTAACTTGTAGACATTGTTGAGCAAGTGTTTCCTCCGATTCTAGATCCCCCTCTTCTGGCAGTGGAGGCAGACTGTCTTGTTTAAGTGTGGCTTGTCTGACATGTGATCTGTTCTGCAGCCTTGGAAATGGGTAAATGAAGAGAGAACGGGTCATAATGACCAATAGTATAATTTTGAGAGTTTGAGGAAAGATTGATTTTACTCATTCCTTTAAAGAACGTAAAACCACAAGTTAGATCTCTTTAAAGCTGCACTACATAATTTTAGCCTCTCTGTCGCCATCTATGGTTGAAACGTAAAATTGCAAGTAACTGCTGGAGTTGTTTCTTTCGTCAGTTGTGCTTTGCCATTGCTCTTCTGCATGACATGCAAGGACTGAATGACACAAACCTGAAAGTTACTACCATATAGTGCAGCTTTGATATTGTTTCTCTTAGACAGCAGTGATATAAAATGGAATGACTTGCTGAAGTCTAAGAGATTGTTCTGTACAAATATATAAAATGTACCATGATGTTGGGAGGACAGTATTCTCTGGTAGGGTTGTGTCCTGTTTGGGCTTGATTTCATTTGTTGTTGCTTGTAGTTGTGGCTTTTTCAAGTCCTGTCCCTCAAAATCGCCTTTTGCCACCTGAAATATTTTTGGTAAAATCCACATGCAGTATGTAATGCAACAAAGTAACGTTTATTTTTTATATTTAACCAAATGGCTTGAAAATGAATGTGAACTCTCACCAGCTCTCTGTTAGTGGTTCTGCGGATGGTGACATTTGGACTTGAGCTTGCAAGCCTGTTTGGCACTTTCCCACAATGCACCTGGGGCTTTCGCGTGGTGCTGGAGTTCATGGTATGACATGAGGCTGAACGACGACAAATATGAACAGCTGAAGACATATGGTGTTTTTTTAGTTTTTTTTTTAAGATGAGGTAAATTCATGAGGATGAATGAGTACAGATAAATAGGTTTTAAGCAATGAGCATGAGAAGAAGAAAAAAGGAAGCCAATAATTATTACACCCAGCTGAATGAAATATCTGAATGAAAGATGCAATTCCTCAGTCTGAAGTGATACCTGTGTCTCGTGACAGACACACAGCGCTCCTGCTTCTGGCTAGATAAGAGACGGTAGGAGTCTGAAGACGACGGACAAGGTCAATCTCCCACTGATTAAGAGAGCGGCATTTAGCTAGAGGAGAGCAGAAAGCACAACGACTAACAGGAAGAGGTCAGAAAGGGAGTTGGGAAAATGGATGCAAGGCTAGAAGAGAGTTTTGGCACCAGTTATTGCGTGTTGAATCGTGCATTTAAATATTCACCATTATTGATTTTGTTCTTGGTGACGTTTCGTGAGCAGTGACCAGGTTTCTGTTTGGCCTTCTGACTTTTCTCCATCGTCTTCCGCACCACAGACTCATAACGCTCCTAAAACACAGGATGAGAACACACCCATCATCCCATGCTCCGTATGTTTTTAATCATGGTTGCAAAATCTCCACAGCGATTTTTCATCATCGTTGACTTGATAAATTTGTTCTACAACAATGTCCAAACTCTTCACTGAAAGCATATATATGCTATACAAACAAAATCTCTCCCACCAAGCATCAGTCACTATTTATCTCATGCATAAACTCACTCTTTCTTCTTTGAGCCTCTGTTTGCGTTTCTCCTCGACCGCCATCCTCCTCCTTTCCTCTATTTGTCGCTGCTCCTCCAAATTCTTCCTTCGCTCCTCAAGGTGTTTCTCATAGAACTGCTTGGCCCTCTCTTCCTTTGCCAGCCAACCGCGCTCACGCAGCACTACAATCCAGGTACACCAAGAAAAACTTCATAAAGCTTTCCGTTTGTTCTTCAATTGGTAATGATGTTAATATAACAGAGTTCAGAGTAAGGAAAATACCCAGCTGTTTTTGATACGCCTCTCTCCGTTCCCGGGCCAATCGCAGTCTCTCATCCACTTTTAGCGCATTTGACTCTAA